TAGAACATGACATCAAGATCATCCTTGCAAGATCAAAGGCAGAAAAAGATTTTTACCTTAAAAGCAGCCACAGGTTTCGAGAAGAGATAACGTAAAACTAAGCCGCTGAACAACAAAGAGAGTCCCGGAAGTTATATATAAGCTAAATTCGTTTAGCCAATAGGTTGCGAGAAGTTTACCTATTACCCGAAGGTGGAACCGAGCAAACAAGTACAACCCCTGAAAGTTCTGGAAACGCATTTTCCGTTCCTGGAATCAAAAACAACAAACTCATCGGTTATCGTATAGGCATTCTTACACCTGATCCAGAAAACGAAACTCATTTCAATGAATATACACCTTACCTAACGTCTGCTTGTTTACAATATTTGCCAAGTAATATTGAACAATGAGTCCTCCAAAAGAATGACCAATAAGCACAGGAGGTGAAGAACCAAGATTCGATTCAATGAAATCCGCAATATCACTTGCGTGCGTCTACTACACAAACACAAATCTTGCTGAATCAAGTAACTATCCAATAAAGAAAATGCACATTGCAAGTTTCAAATACCTGAAGTGTTCCAGCAACTGTTCCCAAAGGTTCATCACTTTCACCCTAAAGATAACAAATCACTCAATTTCAATCCAAAGTTTGAAACTTTATGTTCTTGAAAGTCTAACTAGATATTGGGGAAATCGAAACTCAGCATAAAAATCAAAACTTTGATGATTTGAGAATTTACCTGACCTAATAAACTAACAGCATAAGAATCAAACCCAGAAGAAGAGAAGAAAGGTAACCAATGTTCAGCCCAACACCAAGCTGCGTGATAGCTTCCATGTACAAACACCAATGGTGGATTCTCTCTTTCGGATTTGCTTCTTCGTTGTTCGATTACCTCCATTTTTAGACCAGAGGGAAGCTTGTGGAAGAGACGGTTTTGCCCCTTTTTCAGTTCGTATGGAGTTTTCGTTCTTGGGGGATTGGTGAGAGCTGCCATGGGCTTAATCGTCAGCGAGGATAGGCATGGGAATGAAGTAAGAGAAGAAGACGCCATTTGCGTGAAGGTCGAGCTGTTCCGAAGAGGAGAGCTCTCAAGAATTATCAGAAGTTTTACTGTTTTACGCTAAATAATGTAAGAAAAAAGATAACCATAGACTATTAACACTGTTAATATTCTTGAAAATTATTTTGAAAACTCTCTAAAATTTCTTAATAAATTCTTGAAAAATTCGAAAGTCCAAAAGATATGTTTTTCATAATTCTTACTCCAAACTACTTAATTTTATAAAAAATAATTAAAAATAACTAAAAAATTCGTATGAAACTGAATTTTAATATTTAATTTAAGAGAGTTTTCAGTTTTTTTTTTTGGAAATTTTCAAGAATTTATTATTATTTGAAAATAAATTTATAATTTCAATATTAATATTTTGATTGATAAATTAGAAAAGTTAACAGAAATTACTTTCGATGTGGGTGTTAGTACTATTTGAAAATTTGTGTATGAAAGACAAAATTAATTCATGTTTTTCATGTATCCAAAATATTTGTGTATTTTAGTGAATATATGGTCTATTTATATGAATTTTTCTCTAAAGAAAATAATAAGTCAAGATATTATTAAACAAAACTTTGGAAGGTAAGATATTTCTCTAAATATTGAATTTTAAATATTCTGGATCCAAATTAACAATATATATATATACATTAAGCTTCGAACAAAATCATAATATATATTTGGTTCTTGGTAAGCAATGTAAGCTTGTTAGATTTCTTCAAGGAATCCAGCACCGTTCATCAGTCAAAAATGCAGTCTAGGCATGTGACCTACGACGTAGTTGGTGTCACCAAATCAGTTCCTTACGTGAACCGGACGGATGATATTTTGCACGGTTCCATTAACAATGTTCAACCGAAACACTGGAAGATGATGAGTGTAAGGAAGTTGATGATGCACAACATCAGGGATATGTGGAATCTCAGCTGCACTCATGAGGTCAACGTATTTCACATGTCTCTCCATTTTGTGTATTTTAGTGAATAGATGGTATATTTATATGAAGTTTGCTCTTAATAAAATAATAAGTTAAGATATTACTAGATCATAACCCGTGCTGGAACAGCACGGATGAAATTTTAATTTTTAAATATTTATATAAAGTTGGATTATTGTTTGTTTTATAGTATAATTTTAATAATTCTTTACATAATACAATGACATATAAGGATTTTTTTATTTTATTTTGTTTGATGAGAAAATATTAGGAGTGGGGTACGGTTTTTCGGTTTAGTATCGTTTTTTTCGTTTTGTAGAAAGTGAAACCATATAGAAACCGTATGTAATTCGGTTTAGTTACATTTCGATTTTTACGGTTTTTTACGTTTTTTGGTTAAAAATAAAACGTATGTATTTGATATATGCTAGTAGTAAGTGAAAAAAATTGCGTATATAATAAACATATTTTGGTATATAATAAGATTAAATTCAACTCGTGCATACCTATATTTATATTTTAGAATCCCAATAAAAAAATTGTGTGCACAATCAATCATTCATTATTTTCATATATACTTATAGAATCAAAATTTTAAATATTTAGAGGTGTCAAACCTTATTTAACTCATCTCATCATATAATCTTAATATGGTTTCGGTTATAAAGATCATAACTCTTTTTATCATATAATACATTACATTTAACCTTCTACTTGTTATCAATATTTTAAATATTTATGCTTTGAAAAAGGAAATTAGAGTATTTATAACTTTTATCTTTTGATTTATTAAATATTTATGATATTCTGTAAAATATTATATTAAACTATTTTTAAATTTTTCCAAATTAAAATATTTTTTTTAATTTTTTATTGTAGAATATAAAATTAAGAATTTTTTAAAAATAATTGTATGAACTTAAATATAAATATTCAAATAGTTATAAGGATCATAACTCATTTCATCATATAATACATTATATTTAACCCACCGTCTATTATAAATATTTTTTAAATATATATGTTTTAAGAAAACCAAATTAGTGTATGTATAATTTTTAATTTTTTTATTTATTAAGTATTGATGATATTTGTTTTTAAATATCAAGTAAAACTATTTTTAAATATTCTAAATTAAAATATTTAAAATTGTATCGTAGTATATAAAATTATATATTTTTAAAAAAATATATGAAATTGAATATAATAACTCAAATTCTGACCCGTTATTCAGGCGGAATTTGTTTTGAATTTATTTTTGTTTAAAAGAAATATATTATCCAAGTCTAAATTTTTGACTCGTTAATTTTTTTTTTACATAAATTGAATAATTTATATTCGTTTTAAAAAATTCAAATTATGGCATATGCGGAAAAAAATCTATTTTTTATTATTATATGGATGATATGATGATTTATTTGTTTCACAATAATAGAATCATATAAAGATGAGAGGTGAAATATAATGATTAATAACAAATTAATAAGGTAAGTTAGATATCAAATCTTATATATTCATTTTGATTGGTCATTTAAAAATAATAATAATTATGTGTTTTTCGTTTTTATAATTAAATTAAATTAATTAAATTATATAAATTGACTTGTTTATCCTTAATAAGATGAATTAATTTACTCTTTGAAATTTTATCTCTAATGGCATTTTTAGGTAATTTTTTACAAAAGGAAAGGTTAGTTAAGGGTATCTTATAAAGAAGTGTACTCCCCAAATAATAGTATAGGATTAAACAAAACTTTGGAAGGTAATAGATATGAGCTTAGAAATTCGCTATATAGTAACCTAAATATTGAATTTTAAATATTATGGATCCAAATTAACTAAAATATATATTTTGAGACATTAAGCTTCGAACAAAATCATAATATATATATTTGGTTCTCGGTAAGCAATGTAAGCTTGTTAGATTTCTTCAAGGAATCTAGCCGCGCTCATCGGTCAAAAATGCAGTCTAGGCATGTTACCTACAATGTAGTTGGTGGCACCAAATCAGTTCCTTACATGAACCGGACGAATAATATTTCGCACGGTTCCATTAACAATGTTCAACCGAAACACGGGAAGATGATGAGTGTAAGGAAGTTGATGATGTACAACCTCATGGATATGCGGAATCTCAGCTGCACTCATGAGGTCAACGTATTCCACATGTCTCTCCATTTTGTTCCCACCTACATTGCCTTTGTGGATCGACCTTTGGGGGGGATGAGACAGCGATGCTCTTTTTCAAATGTTTATCAAGTTGAGAATAAGTCCCGGAGAAATTGCAATCATCGATAGGACAAGATCTCGGTTTAGCATTCATGAATCTACTTGCAGTACTTGTCCCTTTTGTTGTCTCAAAGACTTCTCCTCTGCATAGAGGGCAGTTTAAGGTCTTGTTACTTGAGCGTTTTTTCTTGTTTTTTTTTTGCGGAACTGCTTGAAACAGTTGGAGTGACGAGCACTTGTGTCGCACATATAAGGACGACATCCATTAAGGGAGGAAGAACATCTAAAAAAAACAACATTATGACGCGGTTCCATGCAAATCACACACCGCACATCCTCCCATTCTGATTGGATAAATGACTCATGTGCTTTGTATTTCTTTGTCCTTGAAGAGCGAAGTGGGTATGGCGATACTCTAGTCCTATTGCTTGACTCAGGGATCATCTGATTTTCCTTCGACATTTATCCTGCTTAAAGATTTCAACATTGATCAAAAACAATCTTTAATCAAGTTAATAAATTTCATACACAAAATGTAACATAGTTAGATGACAGATGATCAATGGTTAGTCGATATAAGTGAACGATCGATTCACTAAACTCCAAAAATTGTGAGTATTCGATCGTCTCACCAACGAGATCATTGGAGTTAGCATTCAGCACTAACTCACGGCATTCATTGTAACAAAAAAAAAAACAAAAAAAAAGGTTCCAATAAAGTTTTATGTTTCAGCTAAAACAAAACTTAAAATTCGATTCAGACTAAAAGTTAAGACCGAATAAGTATCACTTCAGTCATAGTAATCAACAAATACAAAAGCGCTAAACAACACAAACAAATGTACATCACTAGCTTCATCGTAAACCTTAAAAAAACTAGTTGGAGATTTCTCTAAAAGTGGGTGATGGAAACAAATGTACATCACAAGATTACCTGGTTAGTTTCTGTGTGGTATTCTTCTTGTTGTAAATTTTTTTTTACGAAACTTAATTACAAAAGGGTCAAATATTTCAAACAAAATTATCAACCAAATACCATTAATTAAGCCTTGCAAATAATTTTTTATAAAATTTATAGGGGTCACTTGACCCCCTTCATTTGCGTGCGTCTACTACACAAACAAGTAATACAAATCTTGCTGAATCAAGTAACTATCCAATAAAGAAAATGCACATTGCAAGTTTCAAATACCTGAAGTGTTCCAGCAACTGTTCCCAAAGGTTCATCACTTTCACCCTAAAGATAACAAATCACTCAATTTCAATCCAAAGTTTGAAACTTTATGATCTTGAAAGTCTAACTAGATATTGGGGAAATCGAAACTCAGCATAAAAATCAAAACTTTGATGATTTGAGAATTTACCTGACCTAATAAACTAACAGCATAAGAATCAAACCCAGAAGAAGAGAAGAAAGGTAACCAATGTTCAGCCCAACACCAAGCTGCGTGATAGCTTCCATGTACAAACACCAATGGTGGATTCTCTCTTTCGGATTTGCTTCTTCGTTGTTCGATTACCTCCATTTTTAGACCAGAGGGAAGCTTGTGGAAGAGACGGTTTTGCCCCTTTTTCAGTTCGTATGGAGTTTTCGTTCTTGGGGGATTGGTGAGAGCTGCCATGGGCTTAATCGTCAGCGAGGATAGGCATGGGAATGAAGTAAGAGAAGAAGACGCCATTTGCGTGAAGGTCGAGCTGTTCCGAAGAGGAGAGCTCTCAAGAATTATCAGAAGTTTTACTGTTTTACGCTAAATAATGTAAGAAAAAAGATAACCATAGACTATTAACACTGTTAATATTCTTGAAAATTATTTTGAAAACTCTCTAAAATTTCTTAATAAATTCTTGAAAAATTCGAAAGTCCAAAAGATATGTTTTTCATAATTCTTACTCCAAACTACTTAATTTTATAAAAAATAATTAAAAATAACTAAAAAATTCGTATGAAACTGAATTTTAATATTTAATTTAAGAGAGTTTTCAGTTTTTTTTTTTGGAAATTTTCAAGAATTTATTATTATTTGAAAATAAATTTATAATTTCAATATTAATATTTTGATTGATAAATTAGAAAAGTTAACAGAAATTACTTTCGATGTGGGTGTTAGTACTATTTGAAAATTTGTGTATGAAAGACAAAATTAATTCATGTTTTTCATGTATCCAAAATATTTGTGTATTTTAGTGAATATATGGTCTATTTATATGATTTTTTCTCTAAAGAAAATAATAAGTCAAGATATTATTAAACAAAACATTAGAAGGTAAGATATTTCTCTAAATATTGAATTTTAAATATTCGACCTTAATATTTCAATAAGGGCACAATCTAATATTTGTAAAACAAATAACATAGAACAAGTATCAAAAATCAACAATACCGAAAGGATGATTGAAGAACGAAGATTCACGGTGGTAAACAGAGTTGAGAACGTTGATGATCTCTCTCCTTAACTCAAAAATCGCCCCGTAGTGTGCCGGTTTGATGACAATTAGAGTCTCAGGATAAAACTGTTTCTCCTTTTGATTGCAACACTCAAATCAAAAGCTAATCGAACACTAGCCTTGTGTTGTACTCTCAGATTCGAACTAGAAAAGAGAAGAAGAGGAAGGAGATTATGTTGGTGAACGATGCTTAGAATGAGAGACAATGACCATGACTTTATAGCACAAGAGTGTTGGTGTCGGATCCCGCACCAGAAGTACGAGACCAACCAAAGATTGCCACGTAATCAAGATAATGGCCCATAAAGGATGAAGCCCATTGGACCCGTGGGCCGAAGGGACGGTCGAAGTGGTTGTCACCATCTCGAGAATTTCGAAGTGACTGCACTGAGACACGAGTTCGGTGTAGAAGACACGGGTAAGTCGGTTTAAGGACACTTGGGCCAAAAGAGGCGAGGCCCATGAAGATCAGAGTCAACTCAAATTCAAACGCTGAGCATTAAAGCCGAAGAATCAAAACGGACACATTTAAGAAGAAATAATTGTACTTAATTACTCATTTTAATGTCGTTCACCTATGTATAAATATAGAGGCCAATGGCCATGTAAAGGGGATCTTCCTCTCAAGAGAGAAATACTATAGCAATTTTCGTATCAATTTATAAGTTTTTACATATTCATTTTTGTCCCTCAAGAATAATCTTTCCCACTTAAACAAAATACTTGAGTGTGTGAATCCGACATCCACATTTTGGCGCCGTCTGTGGGGACATTAGGTTCTTGAGTGGTCAGATTTTTTCCTTATCACACTTCCGAGATAAAACAATAATGTCCGGAGGAGACGCTGCTGAGATATCATTGGCCGAAACCCTCAAAGCTATGCAGCAAACCATGGCGGACATATCACAAAAGTTCTCGGACGTGGAAAAGGCCGTCGATACATTGCAAACATCCCAGGTATCTCTTAGTCAAAACGTCAATACTATACAAACTCGTGTTCGCTCTTTAAGTGCAGGAAACCCGGTGGGAATCCGAAGAGGGATATTCAACTCGCCAAGTTCCGCTGCACGAAATGAAACCAGCGGACAAACAACTCCCGGTGCTACTAATAATGTAGCTCAGACGTCGGAAGAAGAGACGCAACTCGGGGATGAAGAACAACTTGCAGCTCAGTACGAGCAGGAGAACCTCGACCAGTTCGAGACCATGAGGAAGGTTAGCCAGGAATTAAAAGAAATGAAATCAAAATTTCATCAGGCTACAAGTTCGGAGCCAGACATCAATCGAGTCATTGAAGAAGCTAGGCGAACACCTTTCATCCCGCGAATCGCGAGTTTAAGGATCAAAGATTCCCGGAAACTCAAATTGGACCCTTACAGCGGATTGGAGGATCCAAAAAGCTATCTCGCAGCCTTTCTGATCGCTGCAGGAAGAGTCGAATTGGATGAAGCTGATGAGGACGCAGGCTATTGCAACCTATTTTCGGAGAATCTATGTGGCCAAGCTCTAATGTGGTTCACCCAATTAGAGCCGGGTTCGATCAGCAATTTCGACGAACTATCAGCCGTGTTCTTAAAGCAATACTCTATCCTTATGGATAAAAGCGTTTCGGATGCCTATCTTTGGAACTTAACGCAAGGATCTAATGAGTCACTTCGAGTTTTCATCACCAAATTCAAAGGAGTGCTGTCAAAACTCCCAAGAATCTCACAGCAATCAGCTTTATCTGCCCTACGAAAAGGATTGCGACATGATTCAAGGTTTAAAGAAGACTTAATACTTCATAAACCAGACACAATTCAGGATGCACTCTTCCGCGCAAACAATTGGATGGAGGTAGAAGACGAAAAAAAAGTTTTGCCAAACGGAATAAACAAGAAAAGCCGGCAATCACCGTCCCTACCAAGATGTTCGAGCCTAGAGAGAGCAAAGGACCAAGGAAGTTTGGGTCGCAACCCTTCAACAATACCGTCGGGAAGCAATTCCAAGGGAAAGGAAGATCAAACACTTGGGTCCGTGATGAAAGTCTATATTGCGACATTCATAAAGTAACCGGACATTTAACCAAGGATTGCAGCGTTCTTAAAAAGCACCTCGCAGAGCTTTGGGCTAGTGGCGATCTTTCTAAATTCGATATAAAAGATTTTGTGAAGGAATACCACGAAGCAAAAGAAAACTCCAAAGATCAAGATTCCAAAAGACCAAGGTTATCCAACGAGGAAGAACCAAGGAGTTCGAAGGGTAAGATCAATGTGATTCTAGGAGGTTCCAGATTTTGCGGAGATTCAATAAGTTCCATCAAAAAGCATAGGCGAAATGTCTTACTCAAAGCAAGTTTGAGCGAAGAAATTGATTTTCAAGGTGCCCCAATATCATTTAACGAAGAAGAAACGCGGCATCTCGAAAGACCGCATGATGATGCTCTAGTTATTACTCTTGATGTCGCTAACTTCGAAGTATCAAGGATCCTTATAGATACATGCAGTTCGGTCGACTTGATCTTTTTAAGTACTCTAGAAAAAATGGGAATCAGCCGAGGAGACATAGTAGGACCCCCATCTCCGTTAGTTGCGTTCACAAGCGAGTCAGCCATGTCTCTCGGAACAATCAAGCTACCGGTCCTTGCCAAGAAGGTATCGAAGATCGTGGACTTCGTTGTCTTCGATAAGCCCGCAACTTACAACATCATCCTCGGGACTCCCTGGATTTATCGGATGAAAGCAGTCCCCTCTACATACCATCAATGTATCAAATTTCCAACATCAAATGGGGTGGAAACAATTCGAGGAGATCAAGAAGCTTCACGGACGTGTTACTTAGCTAGCCACCGTTTGAAGATCCAATAGCAATTAACAAAGCCCGCAAAAGAAGGACTAAGGCAAAAATTTCCTAGTGGGCAGGAAAAAGAGGATGTGGTAGTAGAAGTAGTATTAGAAGAAGACAAACCAGATCGGAAAATTCGAATTGGAGCAACGTTGACTGGCCAAATAAAAGAAGCTTTGATCGAACTCTTAAGGAAAAACAAAGCATCATTTGCATGGTCAGCAGCGGACATGTCTGGCATAAATCCGAGTATAATTTGTCATGAACTAAACGTGGATCCAAGCTTCAAACCGGTAAAACAAAAAAGAAGAAAGCTAGGAGTGGAGCGGGCAAAAATAGTAAACGACGAAGTGGATAAACTTTTGAAGATAGGGTCCATAAGAGAAGTGCAATATCCGGAGTGGGTAGCAAACACTGTCATTGTCAAGAAAAAGAACGGGAAAGATAGGGTTTGCATCGATTTTACAGACCTGAATAAAGCATGTCCTAAAGATAGTTTCCCGCTCCCGCATATAGATCGACTTGTAGAGTCCACCGCTGGAAATGAGCTGTTAACGTTCATGGACGCCTTCTCGGGTTATAATCAGATAATGATGAACCCCGAAGATCAAGAAAAGACGTCATTTATCACAGATAGAGGTATCTACTGTTACAAGGTAATGCCTTTTGGTTTAAAAAATGCAGGAGCAACTTACCAACGGTTGGTGAACAAAATGTTTCACAATCACCTCGGGAAGACTATAGAAGTCTACATAGATGATATGTTGGTTAAATCGTTGAAGAAAGAAGATCATGTTAAACATTTGGAGGAATGTTTTGATATTCTCAATAAATATCAAATGAAGCTGAACCCGGCGAAGTGCACATTTGGAGTCCCATCCGGAGAATTTCTTGGCTATATCGTGACAGAAAGAGGGATTGAAGCCAATCCAAATCAAATTAACGCCTTTCTGAACATGCCATCTCCAAGAAACTTCAAAGAAGTACAACGGTTGACTGGGCGGATTGCGGCTTTGAACCGTTTTATCTCGAGATCAACAGATAAGTCGTTGCCTTTCTACCAAATTCTAAAAGGGAACAAAGGATTCCTTTGGGATGAGAAGTGTGAAGAAGCTTTTGGGCAGCTTAAGGCATACTTAACCACTCCACCAATACTGTCCAAACCAGAAGTGGATGAAAAACTTTACTTGTACGTATCAGTTTCAAACCACGCGGTTAGTGGAGTCTTGGTTCGGGAAGATCGTGGGGAGCAGAAACCGATTTACTACGTGAGCAAGTCAATGACGGATCCGGAGACCAGGTACACAATGATGGAAAAGCTTGCACTCGCGGTGGTAACTTCGGCTCGGAAGCTGCGTCCGTATTTTCAGTCCCATCTGGTTGAGGTATTAACTAACCAACCACTCCGAACAATACTTCATAGTCCAAGTCAGTCCGGACGTTTGGCGAAATGGGCAGTGGAATTAAGCGAGTACGACATAGAGT